ACTAGGCAGTAATGTGGTGGGGGACTGACTTCATTCACAGTTTCAAATGTAGGTATGATGGAGCTTTGAGCTCAGGAACCTGTACACCAGTAGATTGAGGAGATACCAACCTTGAGGATACCTTGAGGATAGATACCTTGAGGAGATACCAACTTTAATCTACAAAAAAGCCTCCAGATCTTTAGCCCCTGCTATTGCTTTGCTCTTCAACAAGTCACTTGAACTCCAAACCTTTCCAGATATTCTAAAAAAAGCGAGAGTAACGCCTGTCCACAAATGTGGTGATCTCACAGATGTTAACAACTACAGACCTATATCAATCCTGCCAAACTTGTCAAAAAATTTTGAAAAACTAATCTATAAGCAGCTTTACTCATATCTAGCCAAACTCAATATACTTAGCCCTTGCCAATATGGCTTCAGGCCCAAAAAAAGCACTAACGATGCACTTATTAGTATGCTTAACTCGATTCATACAGCTCTTGATAAAAATGAGTTCCCTGTTGGGTTATTTGTGGACCTGCGTAAAGCTTTCGATACTGTCAACCACCAAAACCTTCTTCTTAAATTACATCATTATGGTGTCAGAGGACACTCCCTACAATACCTCAAATCCTACCTTACTGACAGGCTCCAATGTGTTTCTGTGAATAATACAATTTCTCCCACCCTACCCATCAACATTGGTGTTCCCCAGGGCAGCATACTTGGCCCTCTCCTCTTTCTCATCTACATTAATGACCTTCCAAATGCCTCCCAACACCTCAAACCAATTCTATTTGCTGACGACACAACCTTCATTTACTTCAGTCCTGATCCCCTTGATCTAAATGACACAGTAAATACTGAGCTAAATAAAGTCCATCTGTGGCTAACTGCCAACAAACTCACCCTTAACATTGACAAAACTTTCTATATTCTGTTTGGCAATAAATCCTCTAATCAAATAAATCTCAAATTAAACAATACCCAAATTTGTAACAAATTAGATGGCAAATTCCTTGACATTCTCATTGACCACAAGCTGAATTTCCAGGGACACATTCTAAACATATCAAAAAAAGTTTCAAAAACTGTGGGCATTCTTTCTAAGATCAGATATTATGTACCACGCCCTGCCCTGGTGACTCTCTATTACTCCCTTATCTATCCATATCTCAACTATGGTATTTGTGCTTGAGGCTCTACTACCCAAAATCACTTACGTCCTCTAATTACTCAACACAAAGCTGCTATTAGGACAATATCCAATTCTGGCCCCAGACATCATTCGGTACCCCTACTCAAATCTCTGAATATGTTAGACATTAAGTCACTGCACATTCTCTCATGTGTATTATACATATATAAAACGCTAAACTATAATGCCAATCCTGATCTCAAAAGCTTCATAGAAGGTTGTAACAGAACCCATGAGCACCACACCAGAAATAAATACAGTTTTGATATTCCTAGAGTACGACTTAATCAAACCAGAAATGCTCTACAAATCAAGGGGCCCAGAATGTGGAATGACCTTCCCAACCATGTTAAAGACTGTACCTCTCTCAACCAGTTTAAGTTAAAAACGAAGCTATACCTAATAAATTCCCTGTAACCTACCTTACCCCTCTGTTGTCAACCCATGTATGTTTTTTTTTTTTTTCAAATCAACGCTGTTTGAATGTAATTTTCTGAAATAATTTGTAATTGTATTTGTGCTGCTTTTTCAACAATGTTCCCCCCCCCTCTTTTACCTCTATTTTTATTTGTACTCAACACATCTTATTCTTTTTACCCATTAGTTTTAAGCTTTAGTCATTAATGTTTTTCCTGCCCGAAACGCTTTGCGTAATAGTGGCTTTAGGCATTGTATGTACTAGCTCTATCTATAAAGCCAACAAACTTTGTAAAATCTCTTTATGTATGTACCTTACCTAAATAAAAATTATTATTATTATTATTATTGACGGTTGAGAGGCGGGACCAAAGCGCCAAAGCTCAACCCCTGCAAGCACAACTAGGCGAGTACACAAATACGGTTAACAGTGTCCACGGGAGACGGAGGTCTAGCTCCTTGTCTTATGTCCCACCATTACAACTTAACAGTTTTGACGTTCAAATTATTGTAGAATCTGGCCTTAAAAGTTGTGGATGGAGGTGGCTTCCACATTATCTTTCAGTGCATTCCATTTGTTGACCACCTGTACATACCTGGTTCTGGGAGTTCTTCTACTCCCCAAGCCCGGCCCGAGGCCAGACTTTGACTTGTGAGGGTTTGGTCCACCAGGCTGTTGCTTGGAGCGGCCCGCAGGCCCACATACCCACCACAGCCCGGTTGGTCCGGCACTCCTTGGAGGAAACAATCTAGTTTCCTCTTGAAGATGTCCACGGTTGTTCCTGTAATATTTCTGATGCTCGCTGGGAGGACGTTGAACAACCGTGGACCTCTGATGTTCATACAGTGTTCTCAGATTGTGCCCATGGCACCTCTGTTCTTCACTGGTTCTATTCTGCATTTTCTTCCATGTCGTTCACTCCAGTACGTTGTTATTTTAGTGTAGATTTGGGACCTGTCCCATTTACTCTTACAGGGTTCGAATGTTTCCCAACATTCCTCCGGTTCATTTGCATTCCCAGCGTCTATCTGTGTCCTCTTATGCTACTATATCTCCGTTTGAAGTGGCTATCCTTATCCACCTTATCTATTCCCCTCAGTATCCTATATACTGTGAATCATATCCCTATCTAGGATTGAGAGATTACATTCAACTAGCCTATTCTCATAGCTTAACCCTCTTAGCTCTGGTACCATTCTGCAGATTCCATGCCAGTGCTGCATATTTCAGCATTGATCTAATGAATGTTGTGTAGATTGCCTTGAAGAAGTCCTGATTTTGGTTTCTAAACGATGTTCTAGTATTTGCCAGCTTCCCATATGTTGCTGATGTTATCCTGTTTGTGTGCCTATGGTGACAGTGTTGGAACTATAGCCACTCCCAGATCTCTTTCAGATTCCTGTAGTTGCCATCTCCTTATGGTGTAGATGCAATCTAGTCTCCTCTTTCCTATCTTCATTGCTTATACCACATATGTTGGGATTGAAATCCTAGTATTGTCTTTGTCCTTGCTCATGAACTCTCTGATACCAAACAAAACACATGAAAGACTAATGCCGCCTACGCCTTCACATGCCCATTTGGGGACTATGGGCCCTAACGATCTTGGTATATAGGTAAACCAACATATTTTTTTCAAGTTGTCTGAAATGCACAAACAGTAGGATCCCACAGATTAAAGGAGCATGGTCCCTTCACACAACCAGACCATCAGAGATATCCTGATGGTCTGGATAAAATAGCTAATATATTAAGATAAAGTTATTGAGAAAATTTAAAGTATATTTTAGTAATGTCTGGCATACATTCTATATCCTTTAATGAAACTACACTAAAATAACTGACACACAATATACAGAATATTAACGAGGCACTGCACATCATGGATATTGAGTAGGCACTGTACATCATGCACATTCAGCCAGCCAGCAAACACTTATTCGCTGCCATCTTTAAGGCCAAGACTGAACATCGAACATACTGCCTCAGCCATCATTGAAACATACCTTAAGTGGGCCTATTGGTCTGTGACACTTTACTTCACTTTCAGTTATATATTCTGCTGCTTCAGCTATTCTGTACAGGTATTCACTACTACTCTGTCTTTGAAAATGTTGATAACGAATAAAATGCATCTCTTTGCATCAGCCCATGATAAAGTAATTATCAAAAGAAGGCACCAAACCAGAAAGGCTATGTAGCACCACCAAATGTGCAGAATAATCAGAGGGTGCTAAATATCACCATGGATGCCAATACGAGAGAACAAAAATGCACAAGGCGAACGATATCAAAAGCATTCAATTCACCAAGAATTCTATTGAGGGACAAGTGACCGCGAGAGACGGTCGGAAAGCAAGACACACTAGAAGTCAGGACATTCATCAAGGATATGTACAACTGTAAGAGGGACAATGCAATTTGGACAATAAGGAGCAGGGCAGCACTCCATTAAGTGACCGTGAGTTAAGCGAGTATGGCAAAGACGCAACCTTGCCAGAGCCGTTTCCCACCGCCAGTTACGGTGGTAGGAGGAAGACCACGGGGACACACTACGCTTAAGAGAATGCAGTTTGTTACAAACAAGCCTGCCAACGGGCAAGGATTTAGAAATGAATAACCGGGTAAAAGTCAGAATAAGGAATACCTTTTATGGGAGATGGGACAAAAGCGGATAGCTTCCCTAGCGGCAGCATCCGCACGCTCATTTAAAGTAACACCAATATGGCTGGGAACCCAGCAAAACTACCGATTTAAATTTACTGGAGAAGCTCATGATAAAACTGTAAAATGAACTTTAGTTACTTTTTCCAACTTCATTCTGAAGTGAAGAACAAGCATATTCATGCTAGAATCATTTTGACCCGACTTTTGTCATTCAATAACATGTATCTTTAAGTAATTAGAACCTACAATTAAGACTGCTACCAAAATACAGGTACAGTACTTATGTGCAAGATAGGATGAATGAATGGGTGTGATAGGATGAATGAATGGGTGTAGTTTTTAATATTCATTTCCTAAACTGTTCCTGTATCTTCAGGCTGATCACTTATCATGAATAGTAAATAGTAATAATCAAGAAATATCATAAGCAGAACTAGTACAGACCAAGGTTGAATTAGCCTCAGATTATTTCTAATAAAATTCCTTACAAGAGCATGCTGTACTTTATTACAATATATATTATATTCCAATTATCTGAAAATGGCTTATAAATAAAAACAATCTGGCTGCCTTCAGATTATGTGCCACATCCCTCTCAATCCAAATTTTAATTCAAAGCCCTCTAAAATTCCCAGTCAATTTAGCATTAAGGCCGAGATGAGCTTCCTTTTTTTAAACATGTTAATAATGTAGATAGAGCACAGTAACATATACATTGGATAAAAAAATAAAATATTAATGTTAAAATTTTTAATGAGAATTTTTATATTTTGAACATTTAGTTTCCATATTTAATGCCCTGTCCTAATTGATGCTCAAAACTCACTGGTATAAAGTTAACTGAAGACAATCGTACACTTTACAGTTCATGTCTCAGAATGTGCATCACAGAACACTTCAAATTCATGGGCAATATTTTGGTAGCAGTCCTCATTATAAAATGCTACATAGAATTAATGGCTAGATATGGCACTTGTTAGCCAATAAAATATTTTAATAATTTCAAGTTTAAAAAACATATATTGCATAAATGGAAGAGGAAAATTGAGTTACACTCACTATCCTCTACTTTTAGTTGTAAATTACACAGCACAGAAATCATACTCTCACACTTCCCTCAAAATTTATCACCAAAAACTTACAATAACACCAATGTTAAATCTATGATTTTTTAACAATGTGAACAATTTGTTCCCCAAAAGTCAAATATATAATACAGTCCTTCACAGGTCCATGTATTTTTTTTACCAATATAATTTATATGTACTATATGTACTAGCTGAAAACTTTAAACAATCAAATCATACCAATATCTGAAGAAAATTTTTTAAGGTAGAGGATAAACATTTTTGGATAAACAAAGCACAACACACATTTCACTGAATACAGGCAATAATTCTTGGCACTAAGCAAAACCAGTTTTCTTGGAAGAAAATGTATAAAAATCATTTTTACAAATTGCACTTCAGTCCCTGATGATGGCATAATATAACAAATATTAACAAAGTCCATCGTTCTGGTAACTGTGAAATACGAAACGTTCTATATTATTTCCTGTGCTAATTTCTACTACATTTGTTCATACCCTACACACACTATGTTGATTTGGCCACTTCAGACTCACTGGAAGGGATCCTCTTTCTACACAATAAGAAATTTTGAGGATAACTTATTAGGGCTGACATGTGTTGCTGTTGAGCGATATCTGAGCGAGTGAAACTTTGCTCACTTTATGCGGGTATGACCCTGTTGATACGTCAAGCGTTGCTGGTTAGCCGAGTAACCATCTATGAGAACCTGACCTCATCATCACCATGGAAATCCAAGGAAGGGGCAGGTAAAAATCTCACAAAAAGGCAGACTACCCAGGTATGAATGGCGACTGAAACGTTAGGCAGGCAGCCATGCAAACAATTCAGACATGAGCAACAATTGGGCGCAAGCCTAAGGATTTGTACAGCAGCTTCCTTTGAAACTGATCAGCTCGACTTCTGTACAAACACTGGGTTGGGCGGAGACCTGGTGATGCTGGGGCCAGGAAGACTTAGTTTAAAGGTCCATTTCAAACTGGTCACATTCAGCATGTTCTGCAAGAAATGGAAAACAAATAATTGAAATGTAAATATATAATTCTTTCCACATTCAAATACTGGTAGATGAAGTATTGAGATCGCTGACTTAATGGGTTATGTTGCTTTCTGAACTAATATTTCAAGATAAAGTTATTGAGAATACTTTAAAAAGGTATATTTTAGTAATGTCTGGCATACATTCTATATCATTTAATGATTCAATCATTTTGGAACTTGCCAATATCGATAAAAATGGACAGCGTTAATATTACAACAAGACTATAATCTCGTACTACATTTATTTTATTCTAATTTCACTCTACAGTATCTTAGTATTTACATTAATAAAAGAAAATGAGTGTACATGTGGGCACATGTTCACAGATATACACATCTGAGATGTGTATATCTGATATACACATCTGAGATGTCAGATGTCAGATGTGTATATATCAGATATACACATCTGAGATGTCAATGAGATAATCCTTTCCCTGAAAACCAAGTCTGGTGCCCTTGAGGAGATACCAACTTTAATCTACAAAAAAGCCTCCAGATCTTTAGCCCCTGCTATTGCTTTGCTCTTCAACAAGTCACTTGAACTCCAAACCTTTCCAGATATTCTAAAAAAAGCGAGAGTAACGCCTGTCCACAAATGTGGTGATCTCACAGATGTTAACAACTACAGACCTATATCAATCCTGCCAAACTTGTCAAAAATTTTTGAAAAACTAATCTATAAGCAGCTTTACTCATATCTAGCCAAACTCAATATACTTAGCCCTTGCCAATATGGCTTCAGGCCCAAAAAAAGCACTAACGATGCACTTATTAGTATGCTTAACTCGATTCATACAGCTCTTGATAAAAATGAGTTCCCTGTTGGGTTACTTGTGGACCTGCGTAAAGCTTTCGATACTGTCAACCACCAAAACCTTCTTCTTAAATTACATCATTATGGTGTCAGAGGACACTCCCTACAATACCTCAAATCCTACCTTACTGACAGGCTCCAATGTGTTTCTGTGAATAATACAATTTCTCCCACCCTACCCATCAACATTGGTGTTCCCCAGGGCAGCATACTTGGCCCTCTCCTCTCTTTCTCATCTACATTAATGACCTTCCAAATGCCTCCCAACACCTCAAACCAATCCTATTTGCTGACGACACAACCTTCATTTACTCCAGTCCTGATCCCCTTGCTCTAAATGCCACAGTAAATACTGAGCTAAATAAAGTCCATCTGTGGCTAACTGCCAACAAACTCACCCTTAACATTGACAAAACTTTCTATATTCTGTTTGGCAATAAATCCTCTAATCAAATAAATCTCAAAATAAACAATACCCAAATTTGTAACAAATTAGATGGCAAATTCCTTGGCATTCTCATTGACCACAAGCTGAATTTCCAGGGACACATTCTAAACATATCAAAAAAAGTTTCAAAAACTGTGGGCATTCTTTCTAAGATCAGATATTATGTACCATGCCCTGCCCTGGTGACTCTCTATTACTCCCTTATCTATCCATATCTCAACTATGGTATTTGTGCTTGGGACTCTACTACCCAAAATCACTTACGTCCTCTAATTACTCAACACAAAGCTGCTATTAGGACAATATCCAATTCTGGCCCCAGACATCACTCGGTACCCCTACTCAAATCCCTGAATATGTTAGACATTAAGTCACTGCACATTCTCTCATGTGTACTATACATATATAAAACGCTAAACTGTAATGCCAATCCTGATCTCAAAAGCTTCATAGAAGGTTGTAACAGAACCCATGAGCACCACACCAGAAATAAATACAGTTTTGATATTCCTAGAGTACGACTTAATCAAACCAGAAATGCTCTACAAATCAAGGGGCCCAGAATGTGGAATGACCTTCCCAACCATGTTAAAGACAGTACCTCTCTCAACCAGTTTAAGTTAAAAACGAAGCTATACCTAATAAATTCCCTGTAACCTACCTTACCCCTCTATTGTCAACCCATGTATGTTTTTTGTTTTTTTTTTTTGTTTTTCAAATCAACGCTGTTTTAATGTAATTTTCTGTAATAATTTGTAATTGTATTTGTGCTGTTTTTTCAACAATGTTCCCCCCTCTTTTACCTCTATTTTTATTTGTACTCAATGCATTTTTTTCTTTTTACCCATTAGTTTTAAGCTTTAGTCAGTAGTGTTTTTTCCTGCCCGAAACGCTTTGCGTAATAGTGGCTTTAGGCATTGTATGTACTAGCTCTTATCTATAAAGCCAACAAACTTTGTAAAATCTCCTTATGTATGTACCTTTGCCTAAATAAAAAATTATTATTATTATTATTATTATTATTACATATGTACATGTGCTCACAAATGTGTACATTCTTTCAAGGATACACATTCATGAGCAAGTGAGGCCACATTCAAGCAATGTAAAGTAATTACATTCAATTTTCAGGTTTTTAGGTGCTGGGCCAAGCATTGGATCTAGTTTACTCATACAGCACTGGAGCAAAAGTATTAGAGGCTTCAAATTGCAATTATTTACCTACCAACTGGTCTGATGTTGGCAAGTTCTTTACATGTTACACTGATTAGCCTCAGGATAAATCCTTAACTTCAACATCTTTACTCATTCAAAATCACAGAACCTTACAAATGTTATTTTAAGGTTCAATACTACATTGGAACCTAGGGGTAATGAACGTCCTTTACAAATTTTTCAGGTTACAAGCTCAATTTCTTCGTAACACTTTAATCAGTTTACGAGCTTTTCCCCGCTTTGCGAGTTTGTTGATACACGTATGGGTCGACCGAGTGCATGGTTCCGGGTGGCACAGGCGACCGCGCTTTCATTTATAAGTGTCACCCGCCTAGTGACGATCAAACTTGAATATTATATTTGGTAGGACAACAGGATGGATAGTGGGGTAACTGGATGGATGGATAGTTGGGGGACTGGATGGGTGGGTGGATGGATGGTAGGGTGGGTGGCAATGGAAAAATGGTGGGGAGGACTAGATGGGTGCTCCTGACAGCCGAGTAGACAGCGCTTCGGATTCGTAGTCCTGAGGTTCCGGGTTCGCTCCCCGGTGGAGGCAGAGACAAATGGGCAAAAAGTTTTTGCTCCTGATGCCTGTTACCTAGCAGTAAATAGGTACCTGGGAGTTAGACAGCTGCTATGGGCTGCTTCCTCGGGGGTGTGTGTAACAAAAAAAAAAAAAAAAAAGCCTGGTCGAGGACCAAGCCGCGGGGACGCTAAGCCCCGAAATCATCTCAAGATAACCTCAAGATATGGATGGTGGGGGGATTGGATGGATGGATGGGTGGGTGGGTGGTGGGGGACTGGATGGATGGATGGATGGATGGATGGATGGTACCTGCTTACCTGCTTGATGGGGGGTTCTGGGAGTTCTACTCCTCAAGCCCGGCCCGAGGTAAGGCTCGACTTGTGAGAGTTTGGTCCTCCAGGCTGTTGCCCGCAGGCCCACATACCCACCACAGCCCGGCTGGTCCGGCACTCCTTGGAGGAAACTATCTAGTTTCCTCTTGAAGATGTCCACGGTTGTTCCGGCAATATTTCTTTTGCTCGCTGGGAGGATGTTGAAGAACCCTGGACCTCTGATGTTTATACAGTGTTCTCTGATTGTGCCTGTGGCACCTCTGCTCTTCACTGGTTCTATTCTGCATTTTCTTCCATATCGTTCACTCCAGTACGCTGTTATTTTACTGTGTAGATTTGGGACTTGGCCCTCCAGTATTTTCCATATTGGGAAAATCCACCCACCCCTCGATGGGTGACTGGATGGGTGGATGGTGGGGGGACTGGATGGATGGTGGGGGGACTGGATGGATGGGTGGGTTGGTGGATGGATGGATGGTGGGGGGACTGGATGGATGGGTGGGTTGGTGGATGGATGGATGGTGGGGGGACTGGATGGATGGGTGGGTTGGTGGATGGATGGATGGTGGGAGGACTGGATGGATGGGTGGGTTGGTGGATGGATGGATGGTGGGAGGACTGGATGGATGGGTGGGTTGGTGGATGGATGGATGGTGGGAGGACTGGATGGATGGGTGGGTTGGTGGATGGATGGATGGTGGGAGGACTGGATGGATGGGTGGGTTGGTGGATGGATGGATGGTGGGAGGACTGGATGGATGGGTGGGTTGGTGGATGGATGGATGGTGGGAGGACTGGATGGATGGGTGGGTTGGTGGATGGATGGATGGTGGGAGGACTGGATGGATGGGTGGGTTGGTGGATGGATGGATGGTGGGAGGACTGGATGGATGGGTGGGTTGGTGGATGGATGGATGGTGGGAGGACTGGATGGATGGGTGGGTTGGTGGATGGATGGATGGTGGGAGGACTGGATGGATGGGTGGGTTGGTGGATGGATGGATGGTGGGAGGACTGGATGGATGGGTGGGTTGGTGGATGGATGGATGGTGGGAGGACTGGATGGATGGGTGGGTTGGTGGATGGATGGATGGTGGGAGGACTGGATGGATGGGTGGGTTGGTGGATGGATGGATGGTGGGAGGACTGGATGGATGGGTGGGTTGGTGGATGGATGGATGGTGGGAGGACTGGATGGATGGGTGGGTTGGTGGATGGATGGATGGTGGGAGGACTGGATGGATGGGTGGGTTGGTGGATGGATGGATGGTGGGAGGACTGGATGGATGGGTGGGTTGGTGGATGGATGGATGGTGGGAGGACTGGATGGATGGGTGGGTTGGTGGATGGATGGATGGTGGGAGGACTGGATGGATGGGTGGGTTGGTGGATGGATGGATGGTGGGAGGACTAGATGGATGGGTGGGTTGGTGGATGGATGGATGGTGGGAGGACTGGATGGATGGGTGGGTTGGTGGATGGATGGATGGTGGGAGGACTGGATGGATGGGTGGGTTGGTGGATGGATGGATGGAGGGAGGACTGGATGGATGGGTGGGTTGGTGGATGGATGGATGGTGGGAGGACTGGATGGATGGGTGGGTTGGTGGATGGATG